AGATCTCGAAGACTCACCTATTTAGAGTAGCGGAAACAGTCTCCTGAATTGCAGCCTTCCAGTTGTATCCCGCATTTGATGTTACGTATATTGCACCTTGATCAGTTACCCATTTTCTGCACCCTTATCTCCCAGTTGCATTTATAAACACCCTGAAACGATCAAAAGACATTTCCATCTTGCTTAAATTACTCGATGTATTTTCACTTTTCAGAGATCCTGACTATATACTTCTAATGTACAATGTCCAATTTCTTTTCGGTGAATACTTTATTACCAAAGAAGCAACTAATTTCAATTGAAAAAAGGAAGAAAAAGATGAACGACAGTACCATATCACCAGGAAGTTGCGAACTCAACGGAATACGTTTCCAGTTGTCTCCAGCATCAGCTGTGTACAGCAAGATAGCTGGTTTGCCGATAATCCAACCTTCTTTGCCTTTGAAGCTGATGGAGTTAAATCTATAGTTGAAATCTTCGTCCTCGGCAGATGGAATTGTACGAGGTGCCCAAGTGCTCCCTCCATCTTTAGTCTCCAAAAGTGTTTGTCTAGTTCCCAATAGAAAACCTGAAAAGCAACAAGATCAACCGAATTTTTGAACACAAATCTAATATTTAATATCTCAAACACTTGGTTATGAAATCAGTCCCAAAAAAAATAAAAAAATCAAGTACATTTATTCAAACACCTTTAAGGCTATTAATTACCTGAAGTACATTTTAAATCAAATAAACTAAATTATCCGCACTGCAGCTAATTAAATCAAGCAATACTACATCAACAATTTGCAGTAACACAGAAGAATTAACAACGAAGATGAAGAAGGATTACCGTGAGAGGGGTCGTCGGGGACGAAAGCAATGTCGAGAAGGACAACGCCGGGGTCAATTGGGAGGTAAACCCTTTCCCACTCAGAGAGCACGTCTTCGCCGGCCAATGCCTTGCTTCCGAGAGTGGAGAGTGATATTGCGGCGGCGGCGTGGAGGCCTATCAGTTCGCGGCGGCCGATTGTGCCCTCGTGTAGCGGAGGAGGAGAGTCGCGAGCGGCGGAGGCGGAAGGAAGGAGCGAGCGGCGGCGGAGGTGAGGGTACGAGTAAATTTTGGGAGACAGGTGCGTGGCTATGGAGGAAGATGAGGAATGCGTGAGGGTGAGCTGCTGAAGAGACGCCATTGTTATCTTTCTATCAATCGCTCTCTCTCTCTCTCTCTAGATTGCACACACAGTGCATATAACGTCTTATCCAGAATTCGGTTGGTTTGCTTTTCTTTCCTTTTTTCCTTTTAACTAATATTAGTATTTTATATTTACTTTTGGGGTTAAATACACTTTCAAGTAACAAATGTTAAATGCCGTTTCAATTTTACTAATGTCGTTCTGACTTCGAATTTGATTTTGATATATTTTCATTTTGATTTTGGCAAAATTCGAAGCACAAAAACTGTAGTCCTTTGGACTAGCTTTCTAATTCAACTTAAATCCGCTAGATTGGATGTCGTATGACAAAATTATGTATGAATGAGTCATATTTTGAATTTTAGATACCTCAATATATCAAAGTTGTGGGCAATATCTATTGATTCATGTATATCTTTATCGTTCGACATCCAATTTTGGTGATTCAAGTTGTATTAAAAAACTAACTCATAATACTTGTTTTGTTTCATTTCCAAAACCAATTTCCAGTTCTATACTATTCATAAAACCGAGATCATGTTTATTTCACAATTTTATCCAGAAAATCTCATTTTTCTTATCAAATTTCTATTGAAAATACACTATTCATATTTTTGTCAATTTTCAAACATACTAAAACCTACTATTAACCTATATATTTTATTCCATCAACTCATTTCTCTCTCCTCGTTAATATTCATACTCTCTCACCCCTCTCATTTCTCTCTCCTCATTAATATCTACACTCTATTTCCTCCCAATTTCTCTATCTACTACTACTACTACTAAAAAAAAAAAAAAAAAAAAAAAAAATTAATAATAATAATAATAATAATAATAATCATCATCATCACTATCATCATCCTCAATCATTATATTCTACTTTTGCACGTACTTTCATAGAGAAAATTCATCACAACCAAACATATTCTCATTTCTACACCTACATAAAACTAAAAAATATCCATTCATTCAAACATATTCTCATTTTCTACACAAAAACAATAAACTACTTTTTCCACCATAAATTTTGAAAACTAGAACTAAAAAATGATCAAAATCACGTTTGAAGTCGTAACGATATTATTAAAGCTCGAACTACATTTATCACATCCCTTTGAAGTATTGCATATATATAACACTTACCCCTTATCATCAATTATATTAAAATTTAAACTATAATAAACATAACAATCTAATAATTATTGGATCATATAAATTTGAAAAGTAACTAAAATTAAATTATTGAAAAAAAATTAAAAAGTAATATATAATGCATAATAATGAATGACAATAGATTTTAAGCAATTAATAAACTAAAATAAATATAAATACTTAAGATTACTATTAGTTATGTATTGACTTCTATATTCGATTAATTGATCAACAACAATTATATGTTTTTTTTTTAAATTTAAATATTGTATTTTTCAACAGATATTTTTAGCTGTATAATTTAATTATTATTTTAGTTATTTATTTCAATAAAAAAGAAAATTTTAAGATATTATAATTTAAAATACAAATTAAATTGTGTTTGGCAATGTAAGTATTACAAATGATACTTATTCAAAAGAAAAACCAAAAACATTACAGATGATACTGTAAGAGGAAAGTATTACAAATGGTTACTTTAAGGATGTAAACTGTAAATCCTTTATTTTTTGATTTTTTTTTTTAATTTAAATATATATATATCACAAAATATATAAAACTACTTTGTGAACTTTTTTCTACTATAAAAAATAAAAAATATATGGGCTCTCAGATAAAATCCCTCAAACATAAAAGTCCAATTATTTTTAATAAAAGTCCAATTATACCCTTTCCCATCTATCCACTTTTCCAATTGCTTATTCAATTTAGCAAAATTCATAAACCAAATCCCAGCCATCTGGATCCATATCGCCAACATATCAATTGCGAGTCTCCAAATATGGAAACCACATTCTCCCATCACGAAAACCACCTTAGTTATCTGCTTATGGCCATCGCCATCATTGTCGTCTCTGCAATAGTTGCCTTTCTTCGTTCATTATCGTTCTTCCTATGATGTCGCAGTAGCCGAAGTTGAATTAGGGCTTCGGTATTTTTTATCTTGAAAACGACGTCTTCGCATATGCCTACGCCTCAAGAATATACGTGAACGTAATGTCACAACTTTTGTTCAACTGTCCCCATTTAGAAGTCGCAAATTTGTTAATAAGTATCATTTGAGCATATAATTGGATTAATTAAAAATGAGCACATCATTTTCGAGGTTGAATGCATCCGGGCCAGCCCAAATTCAAATTGGGCCCAAGGCAAAATAATAAAATTGGGCCCCTTTATCATTTATATGATATTAAACTAAATATTTTGTGTCATGTTTTCTATTTTAAGGATAAAACTAAATTATTTTTTTAATCATCACCTTTACAAAACATTCATCAAGAAAGTGGTGTTACTAATTTTATGAAATGAAAGCATTTAATTGCGAGCTTCTACTTTAATATCGAACTTGAGTAATGTTGAATTTTACTAACAAACTTCTTATTAACTTTCTCTCGCGTTTTACCATATCTATTCAATATGGTCGTCCTCCCTTGACCGAACTTATTTTGTATAATAAAATTGAGATTTATTTAATTTTAATCAAAATAATTGTATATTAAATTGGCTAACAACTTGGGGGCATAGACAACTACCAAAATTGCCAAGTGGATCATAATAGCAGACAAAAGGAATAAACAAGTTTTGGGAGTAAAACGTGCGAGTAGGTATAATTTAGGGGAGACTTGTTAGAGCCATATATTAGTAGGGGAAATTGGTTAACAATCCCTCAACACTAATGTTATTAGCTATAAGTCCTTCAAAAAAATGTTGTTAGCTAAAGATCCCTCTTCTTCACCTTCTTTCACGACTTATCAGATCCTACACCTTGTAACATGCACCATGTGATTTATACTGTGGATCAACATAAATAATTACTTACTAAGCACACATACACATGCATGTTATTATGTGTTAATCAATTGTGTAGAATTACATAGTGTATTTCAACAGATGTAAGTTCTAGAAAATCTTCTTTCACCTTGTTCAATATTCGTTCTTCTTTCATGGGGACACACACACACACACAAATCACAACGTACACAATTTCTTTTTGCCGAACTTTTCCCTAACATTGATGAAGTTATATAACAACGTTATACTACAAACGGGTAAATTCGTCAAATAGAAGTTTTCCCCTACAAATAATTTTCTTAATTAATGTGTATCGACTTTAAACGACATTTAATATGAAACAGAGACTCGTGTAGTCAACTCAAACCCACCTCAAATTGAGCAAATTTGTCATAGATCCAATAAAACCGATTCCCAATATTTTCTAAAGCACACTCGCAAGGGTAGATATTTACTATTAATGAGCACACAAATACACACACACACCCACATTGATGTGTGTAGATCAACACTAAAAGTCGACCCATCACCAGATATACCATAAAAATAACCCTCATAGACGAACATTATATGACCGTCAAGATTTAATCTTCTCTCTCTTAGGTTGCACATGTGCTATATCAAGAAATATAAAATGGCAATTCAAACTTGCATTTACAGATACCTAAATACAAATAATGTAAAGGGATCTGCTTTCCTGAACAACAAATTGCTAAATTAATTTAAATATACATAAAAAAAGGTGCATTTATTAAAATGACAACATGATGTAAAAGCAAAATGCAAAATGAATGTATATTTGATATATATAAATACATGTATAACCAATTTAATTTTTTTTCCCCATCACCAAAATGAACAGACCTTAAATCTAATATACATTTCCTATCAAGGTCCCATCCCATGATATAATGCATGTACATGCTCTCTAGTAATATTTCTAAACATTAAAAACAAAACCTGATGATGCTTTCTCACTCGCCCAAACCTCGTGAACTTCTTGGCATTAACTTCAACTCTCTCAAAGTCGAGAGTGAGTATCATTCGGCCAAGACTACAACGAACAAACTCTATCCAAATCGCCGTAGTAAAGTAACTTTTTATTTCGCCGTGTACGTAGTACCCCTGCTGTTTTTTTTTTCTCACTTAACGAATGCTTCTGCGGATATTTAATAAAAAAAGAAGAAGAAGAAGAAACAATTGATATGTAAAGAAGGATTAGAACTAATCAAGTGCTGCTTTGTTTCTTCGATTCGCGGGCCTAGGTAGGCCATCAAAGATTGGTCTAGTAATGGATGAAGTAGAAAGGGCCTGAAAATCTGTCTTCAAACCCCACATTGACGTGGGCCATATTGATGACGAAGCACCATTGTCTGAATCCTCCAAACACGATGTACTAGACGACTTTCTTACTCCATTGACACTGTTATCTGTTACTAAAGAAGAATCCCCCGAGCCTGTAGGAATTAGGTTCGGTTTTCCTGCTTCACCACCATTGACTGCTACAGTTCGGTTTCCTGACTTGGGCCTGAGAGCCAAGCCTTTACCTGTAATGGCTGAAATCGGAGTGGTGGTGTTTTCTTTCAGAAGCTTTTCTGGGGTGGGGGAAGAAAAAATGGCATCGGATTTTCGGTGCTGTTTCATCAACTTCTCAATCCATTTACTCGAGTCACTACTATTGTCAACATCTTTATCGGTGAGATCGATGTTCTCCAGCATTAAACAATTAGCAGCGCTCTTCGATTTTCTGTGCTGACTCAGCGGTGGGTTGGAAATATGTGAAGATTCGACGAACGGGCCGTCCTCTAGATAATGAGCTCCTCCTTTACGGTACGACGACATTTCAAAACCTTCTGCTGCACCTTTTTGGTCTGCTGGTGGTTTAAGACCATAATACCCTTGCAAGGTGCTCATGGCGGGAGATACTTTTTGTGCTGAGGAAGATTTCAGTTTCAGTGATGGAAATGAATCGAATAAATCGGAGTGCCTACGGTTTGATTCAATCTGCTGCGAATTGCTTGGCCTGCAAGTGGTTATAAAAATAAGCCACCTCGTAACCTCTTGATTGTTGTTATCCTTAATATAAGTTAATTTGTCTGACGTCCAAACCGAGTTTCAACTAAAACAAAACTAGGAAAATACACCATCAATGTAGTCGACTACACATAAGCACATTATTGCACAGATTAACTAACGTGGCTACAATAAATAATGGCGGAAAATAAAAAACAATAGAATCCATCTAATAGAAATGTTAGGTGACCATGAGTGCAATGACTCGTGTTAGAAAGCTCTATTACGCAAAACAGTTTTTCAGTACACAGACTAAAGATTTTGTTCCATGGCGCCAACCATACAGGTACGACTGCTCAAATACAACGGGAAAAAATGGGAATTTTGATAAGGATAACATGTGAAATTAGAAAGAAATTACGAACAATAAAAGTCATTATCTGATTAGTAATATGAGTTTTTGAACAAAATGGAACTTAAAATGCGGAAACAGAATTACCGTGGAGGAGTGCCGTGACCATTGCACAAGCTGGGGGAAGGAGGATGCCTCCCAGGCAGCGGTATTTGGATAGTCTTAAGAGCAAAAATTTGGAGATCCGTCACCAAACCATTTAATTTCTTTATATCTGCCACCTAATACACACCAAAAACCAAAATTATAAACATAACCCAAATTCATACAAATTAAGCATATGCATATCAAAAGCCTTGAAATTTTGAAAGAAATTAATAGAAATGACACAGACAACAGAGGAGATAATGGAAATGAATACTGAAATCAATATGGAAAAATCAACAATCATTATATACAGAACAAAAAAAATACGAAAACCAATTGAAAAAAAATAAAAATAGATATACATCTATAATCCGTACCTCGACGCCGTATTTAATGGCGACGCCGGCGAGGGTATCGAATTTCGACACGGTGTGTAGAATGTAATTAACCCCACCATTAACGCCGGCGCCATTGGCGGCGTGAGGCGGAGACGAAATCGGCACTGATCTCGACGGAGACGATGATCTAACTGTTCCCGTGTGCGAAAATTCCCCTCCGTTGCCATTCATTTGCAAAAACCTCTCTCTCTCCATCCGGCGATTTTTTTTTTTTTAAATTCTACCAGAAATGTTTGAATCTGTACATTCTGATACAAATGAAAGACCAAATCGGAATTACATATGTCCGATATTGCGAAATCAATCGCGAAATTTCGTCAATTTTTGTATACGATTGTAGGTAAGGGGGATTTTGCAGATCTGGGTGAGAGTTCTGTCGATGTGTGCTCGCCTCTCTCTCTCTCTCCTTTTCCTCTCTCTCTCTCTCTCTCATGTATAAATATGTCTATTATTTGTACGTATATACTTATATTCTATAAAATATAGATTAAATAAATAATATTTCATTAAATACAAAATAAAATGAATTTGTGTTTGTTAAGATTTTTGAAAAAAAAAAATCCTAAAATAACTTCTAAAGTTTCAATTTATTCATACATAATTTTACTGCTTCAATTAAAAGATTTGACTGCTCCAGAAAAATATTTTTCTAATTCTGTTTCTATGATACATTTTGTCAATACTTTTTAAACATGACTTGACCGATATAACTGTATTTTGACTCATCTCAAATTATAAAAAAAATTACTTTCATTTTTCAATTATGCCCTCAAAACACATTTTTTCAAATTAAAATGAAAATAATTTTCAAAACGAACCGAAACATTACCATAGTCTCCTAAATGTTACACCTAATATTTTTGTGAACTTCATATGATAATAGCATAAAATAAACGATAATAGTTACTGAAAAATGCCTTTTATATTTATTTATTTATTTATTAGTATACCCTACTTGGAAAATATGGTTGTTTATCCACAAAAAAGAAGTGACAAAATGAAAAGATGGAAGTATTTAATATTTTGGAATATAATTAAAATTGGAAGTAAATAGAATAAATAAATGGAGAAGTAAATAGAAAAATAATAAAAATGTGGTTAAGAAAGTCAACAGTTTGAATGTTGCTTGGGAGTTAAATATTGGATGGTGTTTTGGCTTCGTACGCCCCCACCCACAACTTTCCGCGTTCTCACACCACGTTAACATATAATGAATCTCAATCGCATCTCTCTATATAATTAGGGATTGAATCGAGCCCGCATGGATGTAGCTCAAATG